TTGCACTGAAAGTACTCCTGTAGCTGATCATGGAGTGAGTGTGACGCATTGTCCAAGATGACATGCAGCTTGGACAACGTCCTCCTCTCCGACACCTCCGTCAGAGAGTCCAGCTTCACTCCCACAACATCACCGGCCTTGCAAATCAGTCTGTTAAGTCTGTTGGTGTCAGCTACCCTCAGCCTGCTGCCACAGCACACCACAGCATACAGGATAGCACTAGCTACCACAGACTCATAGAACATCCCAAGCATAATCCGGCAGATGTTGAAGGACCTCAGTTGCCTCAGAAAATAGAGACGACTCTGGCCCTTCCTGTAGAGTGCATCAGTGTTCTTTGCCCAGTCCAGTTTATTTTCACTGTGGACCCCCAGATACTTGTAATCCTCCACAATGTCCACACTGACCTCCTGGATGGAGACAGGGGTCACCGGCACCTTAGTCCTCCTCAGATCCACAATCAGTTCCTTGGTCTTTGTCACATTGAGCTGCAGGTGGTTCAACCCACACCATGTGACAAAGTTTTCCACAACAGCCCTGTGCTCAGCCTCATCACCCTCGCTGGTACATCCAACCACTGATGGGTCATTCGAGAACTTCTGGAGATGACAGGTCTCTGTGCAGTAGCTGAAGTCCATGGTATAGAGGGTGAAGAGGAAGGGAGAGAGGACAGTCCTCTGTGGGCCCCGGTGTTGCTGACAATTCTGTCTGACACACAGTGTTGTAGGCGCACAAACTGTGGTCTGCCAGTCAGGGAGTCCACAAACCAGGAAACGAGGGGGGAATCCACCTGCATCACTGTCAGCTTCTCACCCAGTAGGGCCGGCCGGATGGTATTGAACGCACTGGAGAAGTCAAAAAACATGACTCTCACAGTGCTCATCGGCTGGTCTAGGTGGGTGTAGACACGGTTGAGCAGGTAGATGATGACATCATTAACTCCTAGTTGGGACTGGTAGGCGAACTGTAGGGGGTCCAAGTGTGGTTTGACCATGGGCCAGAGCTGCTCCAAGACGCATCTCTCCAGGGTCTTCATTATGTGGGACGTTAGCGCCACCGGTCTGTAGTCCTTGGAGCCACAGGGGCGCAGCGTCTTCAGCACAGAAACGAGGCAGGACGTCTTCCACATCACAGGGACCCTCCGCAGGCTCAGGCTCAAGTTGAAGACATGTTGGAGTACTCCGCAGAGCTGGGTGGCACAGGCTTTAAGAACCCTGGGGCTCACACCATCAGGTCCTGCAGCCTTGCCCAAGTGGAGTCTCACCACCTGTCTCCTCACATTGTCAGCTGTGATGTTCACCATAGAGGTGAGCGGCAGGTGGGAGTGGGGAGGGGTAGAGTCGCTCGGTTGTGGATTGCGGTGTGTCTGGGAACCAGGAAAGTGTCACGGGATAACTAGGCTGGTTGACCCAAATGCAGAAATGACACTCAGGAGAGATGGAATCAAAAAATAAGGTTTATTGTAGAAACTGATGTTGTAAAGATGAGAAAGAAAACGAGGCGGGGGTGTTACCAGTTGTGCGGTGATAGTCCTGGGAGCAATGGAGAAGACTTGGGTTCGATGCAGGTGGGAAGCACAAAACGTGGATCGGGAACACAGGGAAAAAGTCCTCAATGAAGATGAGGCAGGAGCAGAAGCTCGGAAAGAGGCACGAAGGGAGGCTTGGGGGGAAAATACTCGGGTGCTGGCTAGAAGTCGCCATGTAGGGCAACACTCAGGCAAAGAGTGAATTGTGAAAGCTCCTCTTATACAAGTGGTGATGACCCAAATGAATTGCAGGTGTGTAGCTCACACACCTGCAGGGAATCAGTCAATCAGAATTCCTCCAGGACGCCCTCTGGTGGACGCCTGGAGGAGAACAAAAACACAGGGCCAAAAATTACCATTCCCTGACAGAAAGGAAGTGTGAAGGTAGCTCTCATAGGAGGATGAAGGGCTTTATATCAATAGAAATTTGTTTCTTTATGCTGTCTCAGGTAGAATTTTGGTTTGTACAACTTAAAATATTTTTATATTATTAAAAAACAAAACAAAACAAAAAAACAACCAATAAATATAAACTATACCATTGAGAACTGTTGGGACAATTTCACCAGCTTCATCTTTTTCAACCGAACTATTTATTCTAGGTTAAGGAACTCACAAAAATGTGGAATAAACTGAAATGCCTTAGCTTGCCTGACTAAAGACAAGTTATTTAAAGTTGAACATACATGGTTTTTTGATGTTTTTTTTGCAGCATGGTAACTGTCTATCAGCCTCATTTCATGGCTATAATTAGTCAGGGTCCCTCTCTCCCTTCATCCCAACATCATCATATACTTGGCAGCCATGAAGCCACACGTCTCTCTTTAGTTTCTTTTTGTTTTTCCATTTTTTTGGAATGTTGGGTTCCAGCAGAATGCCAGGGCAATCTTACTATTGAAGTAAGTGCACAATAACTTTCGAACGAAGGCTGTTGCAAGTGAGTTAACCCGAGTCTGTTAACAACCAGTCACTTTGAAAAATGGATATGTGTTTAATAAAAACGTAGGTTGGCTCAGGTAGAGGCTGTGACCTGACATCAGTAAAGCCAGCCGTGCAACAGTTGTGCTGAGTGAGCTCATAGCTGTTAAGAGTGTCTGGCTCAAATGTGCTTCGACTACTGATGATTTGGCTGATTGCATCATTCTGCCCCTGCTTCAAAAAAAATGTGCAATTTCTTTGCACAGGTTTTTCTTCATCAGGCGTGGACTTGTTTTTGGTGGCGGGTGTTTCTAATGAATTGATCGAACCGCGACGCAGTGAGTAACAAAGAGGTTAAAGCAAAGTTATGAAGGCCTTGTTCACAGATGTACAGAATCCAAATAGAGACAGGAGAGGAGTGGGACTGATGAGGAGCGATGTGGACCGCTGCCAAATGGTCTGGCTCTTTAAGTGTTTCCAAGATTAGAAACCAGCTACTCATTTTTGCCCTCAGAATACTCAGTCTCCTCTGGTTCATTTCCATGTCATCACACACACACACACACACACACACACACACACACACACACACACACACACACACACACACACACACACAGGGCTGCCTTCTCTGTAGTGATTTGCACACAGATTCAACTGTACACAAAAATGAAGTCAAGACAAACTACTTGTCGTCCCTCAAACACACGCCACTGATTTTACCATAATTGCTTCCGAGTGTGCTTTGCAAATCATGTGAAATATTGCAAACCAAAACAGCTATTTTGCTCTGATCTATAGTAGCAAACACAGAGCACAGTAAATAATGGCTCAGAAAGGCCTCGGAATGACTCGCTTTGCCCCGGGTGGTTTACAACGCTGCCCAATGCCAAAACACACTGTTAAACACTTGAAGACAAAGGGCAGGGAGCTATATATGTAGATTATATTTATCTAAAGAGAGCAGTTTTTCTTTGCTTAGTGGTTTATAGTTAAGTGGCCACAGAGGGGATAGACCTGAATGAAGAAAGATGACCATGCCGCAATGAACAAACTAATTCACCAGTGCCATGTTCTTATATGGCATTTTGACTCTGTGTATGGGACCTGCAGGCAGCCAGTGGTGTGCACAGCAGATAACAGCCCGACCGGTAGTTGAGGAATTAAAGATAGTGTCCAACCCTGAGGGCCTTTAAATAGACCACACTCATCACTGACCGTATCTGCACCAGCCTCTTTACACAGTGTGACCCCCTGGTCTGTAAAATTCAACCCCACACCCTGCCCCGCTCCCCCCTTTGTGCACAAGGTGATAAGTGGAGACTGCAGGCTGCGGCTATACCATTAACTACCATGTATTTTATAGTGGAGGTTATTCAACTTTTCAGCCCGTGACCCAAATAAGAAAATTATCGTCTGGCCCCAGGTCTCAGGCTCATTAAAATATATTGGTTTTCATGACATCGAGGGACCCGCCGCCCGCTATAGGCCTGTGACCTGTTTTGGTTCCTGATGTAAAGTTTCAGAAATTAAGTTTAACGAGATACTTGACTGGCTATTATTGCTGTATACAGTACATTATCATGCAATAAATTTTTATTTTATTAGATCATCAGGTCAGATCAGAATGAGAACGAAGCAGAAATGTTGCTTGGAGCTGTGTGTCACTGAGAAGGGCTTTTAAATCAACGCTGATGGAGTTCTTTCTGTCATCAAGCTTATGTAGGATACAACATGAAAGTGATGTGACAAACATAGCTCTGCTTCATGCAAAGAACACTTTACAACAATTTACTTAGAAAATTTTACATGAACACTGAGGTCCAAAATTGCCACCACAGATCGGTTTCATGATAAAGAACTTTGGAAACAAGAAGAATTTAAGGATTGAGAAATGTGTAAGTGCTTTAAGGTACCATGTGGTGATTTTTTTTGTGTGTTTTGTGGTTGTGTAACATAAATGCTGTTAAGATATGAAAAGATTTACTTCGTCCTTTCCTCAAGTCCACTTCAACCAACCAACTGAGGAACCAATAGTCGTTGAGCTAGAAAAATCCCGCCCCTCACTGCTCTCTGCTTGTGAAGATAGCTGTTCAGAATGAGTAGCTGCCTCATAGTCGGCAAGGTTTATTTACTTTTCAGAGCTGCTTCTGCTATTTCTAAAATGTTTCAGCCATGAGGAAAGCACACAAAGTGAGTGAACACAAGAGTCTTCATGCACTTCCAGCATCCGAGGAACTGAAGAACCAGTAGATTGCCTTTATTCATGATGGTAACGTCCGCGCATGAAAAGAAAAATGCTTAGTTTTAGTGTGTTGTGCAACTAACATAGCTTACATCGTTAGTTTTGATCACATTCCCACAGGTCAGAGCGTTGTGGAAACTGTAATGATGAGGGACATTTAGAGATAGTGGAAAGTTTAAGAGCAATTTTAATGAGTTTTCTTGTCACTTGTTTTGCTTTAGTGAAACCTAAGTTTGGCCAGTGTTTAGATCGGTGTGCTTAACTCCTGCTCTCTGTGCTCACATATTCTTCATTTCATTTTGCTTTAAATTCTGAGATATCGCCATGGCAAATGATCACTGAGAGAAAGTGGTAGAGAAGTGCAAGAAAGTTCTGGTTTCACATTCATGTCTTAGTGAGCTGTCCTGTGTTCAACTGTTTTGCTCTGTGCTGTCAGTTACAGACTCAGAGAGAGTCTTCTTCCTGAAGGAGCCAAAAAAAAAAAGTAGCAGGTTAAAGGTACAGATACTGAAACAACCCATTTAGAATAGGAATAAAACCAGGGATAGCACATTCTGGGACCATGTGAGACTTTCATTAATTTGCAGAAAAGGGGCACAATATGGGAATTTTAAAAACTCACTGGAGCACTGTGTGGCAAAGCAGCGCAGATGATGACTCACTCATCCATGTTTTCCTCTTGAGGCCTCCTGTTAAAAAATGGTTTGTATCTTAGAAGGATTGTAAAAGATGACTGGATTTATTTCACATCTAGTCTGTTCACCATGCACTCTTGTAGCTGGTGCACCAAACCTTATTCTACTTACCAAAGTACTGTAAGATTCAAACTTCCAAGCACTAAAGTATTTAACTAGAGTTGGAACATCATCACTGTTTTCATCAGTCTGAAGCAATGCTGAACACAAAGTGCAACTGGGGCTACTTTTAGTCCCACTGTTTCCAAAGAAATCCAAGGGAATCTTTGGCTTTATTGTTGTCTGAATTGGGTTCCATTCTTTTAGAAAGTTTCGGGTCCTAAACCAAAGAGTTAAACTTAAAAGACCCGACGATGGTCAAATATCAGGAATGGCTTCATCGTGGGCAACTGTATGTTCCCCTTCTCCCCTTTTGAACCTGCATATTCAGTGTGGGTTAGACAAGGTGTGATCTGGCATTGTTAAAAATCTTTAGTGTAATGTATTTTTGCTTTTTGCAAAAGTTTTATAAGATCTGGCTCAGTTTGCTACTTTATTTTCAAGCTTGGACATTGCCATTTGACAATGTGGAAACATATTTTCCAGTAAGGTCACCATTTTGAATGATACATCAAGTAGGAGTCAAAGCATTTCACTCTCAAGCACAAATGTCAACCTGGTTGAAACACTATGGCCTCCAGAGAGCCAGCCTATGTCCACTGTAGTGGACATTTGTTTTTGAGCTATATCTTTTGATTCATTTGGGCTACCCTACTAATGGAGGACATCCTGGCCTTTCCAATGATGTGTCATGTGTTTGGGTGGGATCAGGGAAACTATGTTTGCATGCTGAGATAAAATGGAGACTGCAGCAAAACACACTTTTTTCCATGGTTCTTGGGAGGCTAGGGTTCATTTGTGATCATCAGAGTTTTTCAAAGGCAATCTAACAATAGTGACCAATATTTATCGGGATTGGGACCAGTCAAAGCATTGGTACAAACCTTGGCCCAATTGTGTCATTGCCTCTGCTGTCACACAGGTGTTGTGATGGGAGACCACAACTTGTGGCAGGACATTGGAGGCGCAAATTTAATCAATTAGCTGCAGCATCATTAGTCAGTAATCAATTAATTGTTAACACAAATTGAACACAGTGGACATTTGTCCCCTGCTGATGTTGCTGTTTCAGTTGATGGACAAGTCATTTGGGTTACACATGCCACTAGGATAAAGGAATGCTGTACAATACATTTTCTGACATGCATGTAAAGCACGCAGGTTGCTACCATCTTCTGGAGCTTGTGGAGCCATGCTACACCCAACACTCTCGACACTATATTTCAGACAGTACCTTCCCAAAGCTTCACAACAAGGTTTAAGACCCTCTAAATAACATTAAGGAACAGCTTAGATGCAGAAATGCACTTTTTTTCTTAATGCATTACAGAGCTGTTCAGATGTCAAACATATACAGTTGATTGATTCTGTTAACTTTTATGTACTTGAAGTATGTATTATCTAGAAAAATTGTCTCAGATTTGGACTTGAGGTAAAAAAAAAATTTAAAAAATTGATTCGGACATCTTTAATATTTATTTCTGGACCCAAGTGTCCAGACATTACAATCCGTACAGAGATGCTGCCAGCATAGAGAAAAGAAGCGTAATTTATCTGCCTGCAAACACACCAAACCTGCTTTCCAAAGCATTTGTGAACAGGAAGTGCATAAAGTTGTTCCGCAGTGACTTTGAGAATAATGTGCTGGCATCGTTAGACGAGTGCTAATACAGAGGGGGACGGTGCCGAGCTATTGAGTGCTGCATAATTTATTAGATTTCACGATGGTGATTATTTCAGATTGAAATAGATGTGATCCTCAATTGTTCTGCTCCGTTGCTTGGTGTGAAATGAGTAATGAGCCTGTAGACTGGGGGTGGAGCAGGCCGGACAGACGGACCAGCGATATAAAGCCAAGGAGCCGTAGCATATAGAGACACTGGTGCGTTGAATATGTGCTTTAACTTGGCATCAAAAGTGCTGAAAATTGAGATATTTTCGAGTGAAGTTCTCAATCACAAATCAGCTTTTGTATAGGCCTACATTTGGCACCCTTCCATTCTCAAAAGAAAAAAAGAAAATTAAGAAGGGTTGGACTTGGAGTTGGAAGAATGTGTCTTCACATTTATAAAAGCTGCAGTCATGTCAGACTAAGACTAGAAAGTGAAATAAAAGGAAAGTAGAAATGGTCCTTGTTCTCAGTTCTTCCCTGTGCCTTGAGGCTGCACATGTGTGCTCCTTGTGCAAACACACTCAGCTCTTCTATAAATGAGTGGATGTGAGCGGGACAGATGTGCGGCTCGCCGCTGCTGCAGTCTTGTCACAGACACACAGGGAGAACGAAGGGAAACAGGGAAAGTAATGGGCACAGATTCTTCAATTTAACTCCCTATCGATTTCTCTTGTCTCCACCTCGCTGGTGTCCCGGTCCATCTGCTGCAACAAACCTGACAGACAGAGAGGAACTGTGTCTCAGCTGTAGCATCGAGAGGAAGGAGTTAGTAAGAGACAGAAAGTCTGTGTCAGCTTGTGTGCCGGCCTTTAGCCTTCTGCTGGCTGGTTGCCATAACATTACAAGAAGTAGTTTAAAACGTAACTGAAGAAAAACAGAAAAATAATGTAAATGTTGTTTTATTATGTTGTTGAATTTTAATCTTTCCTCCTTACAGCTGTATCTCATATAGTCACAAAAAATATACTGAACATGGTTCACTCATTATGTCTTGGTGACATTCTCCAGGTGGTAAAAACAATTATAGACAGGAGAATGGTAAATGGTCTGCACTTGTATAGCGCTTTTCTACCTTAGCAGCACTCAAAGCAATGTTTACAATGTTTTCTCATTCACCCATTCACACACACATTCACACACCAATGGTGACAGAGCTGCCATGCAAGGTGTTGCCTGCCATTGGGAGCAACTTCGGGTTCAGTGTCTTGCCCAAGGACACTTCGACTGTGGAGGGGGTGGGAATTGAACTGCCAACCTTACGATCAGAGGACAACCGCTCTATCACCTGAGCCACAGCTGCCTTGTGAGAAGAGAAACACAATTTTAAACTTTTTGCCATTTCAACCTGCATACTGGCACTAAATGCATCGTTATCTTGGATTTTGTTAATTGATTGATTACTCTTTATTTGTCCATCTCCATCCAGACTGAAAGGCAGATCAATCCAGAACAGTAATAAATACACTGTTAGTGATGTTGAATAAACAGAACACCTAGCAGTACGTAATTCACAGCGACCCTGTTCCCAAATGAATGCAATTTAAACACGGCCTTTATCCTATTGTTGACATTGTTGTCATGGTGACATTGTTACCTGCTGGAAAGTGTGCTGCTCGTTGTTGCTTACAAGCTCACGTTGTACCATTACAACAGATAATTAACTCTCAGCTCCTAAATCACAGATACAAAGTGTATCTCCAGTACACAGTTTCTACAGCAAGTGTAAATGTAAGAATATGTCAAAAATTAATACGTATGAGTTAAAATAAATATAGACAAACTGCCTGAGCTGTCTCTGCCTCAGTTTGGCACAAGAGATGTGACATTTATGGTGTAATCACGCATCAGAGTTCAGGGGTCACACTAACGCAACTGATTTCAGGCAAACAGCCTTTCCCCCATAAACTCAATTTATTTTGATTATGTTGACTGTCTTGAGCATAAATTTGCGCTCCTTAAAAAACATAAATAAGTTGATTTATTATTGTTGGTAATCGTTTCAGACCTCCAGATAAAAGCCAGATGGAGTGCCTGATTAAGACGTTTGAGAATCTCTGATCTAGAAGCTCGGTGACATGGTGACTACTTGCAGGGTTTGTTGGGAAACTCGTGTAATTGGTGAGCGAATGGTTATTGTGCCAGAAACATGCTAGCACTATTCAGTCATTTCCCAAGCTCCTTTCTGTCCTCTCTGTACTATTTCTCAGGACTGGACATCTCTAATTCAATAGTTATTGAAGAGTAGTGTGCTTGCCAAAGGTTCACACAGTTCAGTATTCATAGGCGTACAGCATTTGTACCATTGACTTCTGTCCCATAACTGTCTTCAAAGCAGTCCTCTTTTGTGGAGCAGTTTACACTACAACAGAGGAGGGTTAAGTTGGGCAAACACTTTGTGTTTTTATTGATCTTGTACATTGTGTTTACTCACTACACATTTTAATTTGCCTTTCTCTTCTGCAAGAAGCGGTGACTTTTATACTCACTGTATAGATCAATTGCCTGGCCATGACATGGGTGTTCAGACGGGATGTAAGCACAGAACCTCCAGTTAATTTTTTCCATTAACAATTCCAATAAAATGTGTTCAGAGAACAAGTCCAGGTCCTAAATAATGCAGACATAAACTGTTATGAACAGAAGACGCAAATGGTATGCTCTGTAAAGTTAAAATTTATATCACAGCAGTGTCTGAGTCAAGACTACAGTCGCAATATGTAAACTACCAGTCCAGCATTGTAAAAATAAGCATACTACAGTTTATGATGGATCCTGTGACAGCAGCCATTTAGGAATTTGGACACGAGAACAGCTCAAACTGTTTAACGATTGCAGTCATCAAGCATTGTGACCTCCCTCAAACTGTTCACCTAGAGACAATCAATCTGGTTGATTCCAAAATTAGTCAGGGGCAACTTAATCCAGAGTAAAATCAGGACTATCAAGACAGTTTGCTGTTGGTCAGCACTTAAAATTTGCATGTGGGTTGGCCAAAAAGTTGACCTCAATTTACTTCATCTTCCCACACGCTGATTGTGATGGTTTCATTCAGAGCGAGATGCTGAACTGACTACTGACTTGGAAACGCAGAGCAAGAGTAAAGTTTAGTTCTCCTCCCCTTCAGATGTGTAGCCAGCTATGCAGACTGGATGTCTCCCTCACTGTCTTTGTGTTGTGATGCCAGGTCGATGTTTCACCTGCTGCTGTGGGACAGGTGTCGGGAAACAGAAGCCACAGTGGGAAGTCTTGGCATTGACCAGCAGATTTACCCTGAGAGTTGGCAGCGGGCAAACGCTCATCAGCTGCACAGCAATGCTCTGCCAACTGTGGAATACCTCATGATCCTTTTTCCATTTGCTCCACCTTCCTCTCTCTTACTCCTGCTCTCAATCATTTGAACACTCTGCATCTGTAGCGAGGAGGTTTTCTAACTGTTGGTCTTTGCTGATGTATCCAGAGATAACCATAAAAAGTGTCAGCATGCATAAAAAGACCCCAATAAACAGACCTTTTTTGCCTGAATACATATTTGTTTAAAAAAAAAAAAAAAAAAACTACTAAAATGTGCAATATAAAAAACAGGGACTTTACTTACTGTTCTGCATTCCACCTCTTCGCTTAGGAAGGAATTGACATTGATGTTTATAATGTTGACTCAGAGCAAGATGATAGGTTTCGGTAAATACCTGCTGGGCTCCTCCTACATACCTATGCAAGTGGTCAACTGTTTAAATACATATTTAAGAGCCACATAATTCTGACCACCTTTTTAATAGCCTGTTGATTCCTTGCATGCAGACAAAACAGCTCTGCTGGATTCTGCAAGAGCTGTGTAGGTGTCCTGTGGCGTTGTGCACCGAGATTCTATAATTCAACAATTTTATTTACATACATCTGAGAGTCGATCGGATGTAGTCAGGAGAAAACAACCTAGATGAGTGCCATAGAACAAGTTCAAGTGTGATGGGACATGGTGCCTAAAGAAAGTGCAGAGGTTTTAGGAATTTCTTTCGAAAGAGCTGGAACTTTGGTCTTTTCTGAGACTGAGAAGGAGAGTTTGGCAACTCCACCACCGGGGAACCACAGAGGAGAAGAGTCTAGCTATCAACCTTGGGCCCTGTTTCGGTGGTTGTATCAGACAGCTTTTGTTGGCCGAGTGTAGTGAGCGGCAGGGAGCGTAGACCTGAATTAGAGAGTTCAGGTTGGAGAGAGCTGTTTTTATTGTAATTTTGGAGGCAAGTGTCAGAGTTTTGAATTTGATGCGAGAAGCAAGTGATCTAAATAGCAGGGTGACATGCTGTTTTTGGCTGGCTGAAAACTAACTGTGCTGCTGCATTCTGGATCATCTGCAGATGTTTGAACGTGCATACGGGAAAGCCTGCTAGTAAGGAGTTGTAGTAGTTGATGCGTGACATAATGAGAGCCAGTACCAGGAGTTGTGCTGCATGATCAGACAGGGAGGGTCTGGTCTTCCTAATGTTGTACCGCGTGAATTGACATGACCGAACAACAGAGGCCATATGAGCCTTGAAGATTAGTTGGTCACCAATCATGACACCCAAGTGTCTGGCAGACTTTGTGGGTTTCAGTTGGGTTGATTCAAGCTGGATGTTGAGATGTTAGTTGAAGTAGAAGGTGTTAGGAAGAAATCCTTTAAGTCTTTGAGTAAATATGAGCAGTAGCTGTGGTGGATCAGATTGTTCCAGCATGGCCCAACCCTGCACCAATTAATCCTGACCACTCTCAGCCAACGCTGTCTACACCACTTACACCACTAGAGCAGCTATAGCTCAGGTGGTAGAGCAGGTGGTCAAGGATTTTCTTACCTGTAGTATCATAGGAAAGCTGTCCACTTTCAAAGAGGTGGGGAAAGGTGGAGGCATAAGTCAGTGAGCAACCTTTCATCCAGGAGACCACAGCTGGCATACCCTGAGAAAGGAGGGATCCTCAGTTGCAGATTTCATTTTTATTTCATTGTTTCGCATAGTTTTTACTTGCTTTCTGGTTAAATTTACAAACAAAAATACATTGTTAGGTTCGGGAAAATATCACGCTTTGGTAGACACAATAACTACATGTTATGCTTAATTAAGTTTAGGCACCAAAATTACTTGATTAGAATTAGATGAAAAAAAAAAAATCATGATTCAAGGTAAAATACGATCCTTTTACAACATGCAACATGTTTGAAGCTTCTCTTCCATTTTTCGGGTTACAAGGGTTATGACTTTTGCATTTCGAATATGTGATTAGTTGGCTGAAAAGACCCACTCATCTGAACATAAAGATTTGACTCCTTTCAAACTCACTCTGATCTTCGCATCTACCCATTTCTACCACATTCTACAAGCTTACTGGAAGATTCTGCATAAATATATTTGTTTTCAAACGTTTCCCAGACCTTCACATGCACCATTGTTGTAAGGTAATTTTATTGGGGTGAAGACAACAATCCCAGAGATGGATAATTCAGTTTTGCTGGGCAAACACAACCAAAATCGGGGTTTGAGTCACACTGGCAGAATGCTTAGTAAGGGGAACAAGGGTGAGCCAAGCCACTCTGTCAAGAAAACCCATTTTTGCCACTTGTGTCCTCGGGACAATGTTAATGTGCCGGAAAATGGGGGATTGCTACCTTGGGTCAGGGCTGAACCACTGGCCCGAGTGATGGAGTTCATGTATCTCCAGATCATGTTCACAAGTGAGGTTCAGATGGAACACAAGTTCAGGATGCCAAGGGAGCTCAGCTTAAAGTTGAAGCTCTCAATTTACTATTCCAACCATCGTCTGTGGTCATGGCCTTTGGCTAAAAGCCAAAAGACTATACAAAGTGTGAGTAACATTTTATTCCTTAGTTACGCTTCTTTCAAAATGAAGTGGTAGTCTGATCACCCCAACACTTTCTCTGTCTCACTAATTTCCCACCATCCTTGTTGAGGCTTTGCCCACCAATCAGCTCTGTTAATTGCAGTGCAGCAGTTAAGGACCCCGGATGGCTCACATTATCTTTATTTACCGGCCTAATTGTCACACTGATGGCAGCCTTGAATGGAGCTATGCAGCACTGAAGACTGATGACTCACTCAACTGAAACACAAGACACCAGGGACACATATAGAATGACGTACAGGGGTGTAAGGAGAGAGTAAAGGGAAGAGAAAAGTGTAGAGAATAACAGAAAAGTTTATGGACTAAAATTAAGAGTTTAGTGAGATGATTAAAAAGAATGGAGCAGGAGGAGAAGAAGAAACAACAAAAGTTGCTGGTGCTGATTTTGCTAATGATGCTGTGGAAAAAAAGAAGACAAAGAATTAGGAGTTGCTGAGGTACTGCAGTAGTAAAACTTACAAGACATCAGGATTATGGACTGGAGTCCGCCAGTGCACATGGAGATGTGGTGTGGCGCCGAAATAGACATGAGGAGACGAAAGAAATGAGAGTGGGAGCAGCAGACAAAGAGGAAAAGGCAGTCGGCAGCCACCACTAAAGGCTTAAATATTAATCTTCCCCAGCAGGAGTAGTGAGGTGGCTATGCATATTAGCCAGTGAACAGCAGAACGACAGGCCTATGGTTCCTTATAGTACCACACATACAAGTGCTTAAACACACTCACAAGCATGTACTCATACAGTTTAAGTACCATTGATTCCAATCCTTCTTCCCACTGCTAATTTCAAGGCACTTTGTCTTCTTCTCCATGCTGATTAGTGTGTGCAACAGTGCAGCATTGGGACACTCATAGAACTATACCACGAGTTTAATTCTTCTGACGGACCACCCAGCTGCACACTGAGGTAACAAGAAGAAGAGGGCCTGTAGGTCAGTGTGTGTTAGCATGTGTCAGTGCGGAGCCTATGCCAGCCATCTTAGGGCGAAGGCAGGGGACACCCTGGACAGGTCGCCAGTCCATCACAGGGCCACACTTAGAGACAGACAACCAAGCACACTCACATTCACACCTACGGACAATTTAGAATTACCAATTCTCAACATGTCTTTGGACTGTGTGGGAGAGAATCCACCCTGCAAGGGGAGAAAATGCAAACTCCACGCAGAAAGATCCCGGTGCCCCCACCGGGACGCGAACCGGCGACCTTCTAGCTGCGAGGCAACAGTGCTAACCAACTGCGCCACCCTGCTGCCGTTTTTAAACATGTACATGACAATTTACCTGCTGTGTCGCTAATAACCTATGTTGAAGTGTACAGAGCATAACTGCTGCTGTTTTAAAGGCTCGACCTTTAACGCACTACAACTGCTTGACACTTGCTTGCTCGGAAAGTTGACCAATAAGTCTGCCCCTTGATTGCTTCCTTTCAACACCCTCAGTCTGACAGAGATCGAAGAAGCACTCAGATCTTAAAGTTAGATGACAATTTAAAGGGTAAATGTACACACAAAAAAAAGTAAAACAATTTTTAAAGTACCAAAGTGTTTAAAATATCCTCAAAGTATCAAAAGTAAAAGTAATTTTTATTTTATATTATTGGATTATTTGAAATTTAAATTCTGCCCTTTCATGGGGTTCAATAAAGTTTCATTTTAATCTAATAATAACGACTTTCCATAAATAATGGGCTACATCAAAACTTATTTGTTGATTATATTTTGTATTATTAATTTAAATATGCAATTTAAAAAAAGGACAATATTTGCCTCTAAATTGTTGAGAAGTAGAAGTATAAGGCAGCAGACAATGGAAATACAGCAAAGTACAAGTACCTCCAAATTATACTTAAGAACACTACTTGAGTTAACTGATTTCACTGAGCATACTCAATGATGTTGATAACAACCTCTTCATAATCTAAGAACTGACATTCATTAAATGCTGCTTTGTCATCGTTGTCTCTCCGTGTTTTATGAGCTGCTTTTTGAAAGGTTAAGTTAGAGTTTTTCACTTTACCTTGAAGGTGGTACCTTTGGTCACTGTTAACCAGCTGTGGGATCTCCGCCATATTGGATAGAAAATATCATAGCAGTAGTTGAGTCAATAGCTGCAATAACCAATCAAATAATTGCTGTTATCGGCCACTGTTCTACTTCCAAAGGCTCAAAAGTCAACTTGACAGTGTAGAGAAAAGTGGAGCTCATGCTTGTCACATTGCACATGAATGCACCTGGCTTTACTGTGCTCACGTTTTGAGAGTAATTAAAAGCCACAAATATAGTTCAAAATTTCTTATATTTGGAGCAGGACCTCTTCGGTGTGGTCACCTTTTTTTATTTTTTGCCCCTTGCCTATATGCAAGTCTGTACAAAGCTTGTCTATAGGAAAAGCAAAAGCTACTTTGAGTTGAGTTCTTGAACATGTGCTTTCTATAGTTAAAATTATGAACTTGTTTGCAAAATTTTTACGTGTCACAAGCATTCCAAAGTCCAACATTCACTCACCTGTAGCTCAGTTTTAGTTCTCCACCAGCTCATGGAAGTATAGCTGCTTTACTGACTGCATGCACCTTTGACATAGCACATTTTGATTACCATTTCATACAAAATATTAATTATACAAACTGTAAGTTGAAATGCTTTGAGTGACTGAGAATGTTTCACACACTCTGCGCTGTGCACTTGCTCACACCCCGAACAATTACATAGTTATGTCACTCGTTCCATCTCTCTACAGCTACCTTCCTTAGTTGTCTCTGCATATCTCTGCCTGTCTTGTAACAAGCTGCGTGAGCAACTGAGTGCCCATTACTCTGCTAACTGCCTCCTCAGAAGCCCAGCACAGCAGACACATGCTGGTAGTTTATACCACTCTGCCAGCCGTGGTGTGTGTGTGTGTGTGTGTGTGTGTGTGTGTGTGCGAGCGAGCGAGTGCACGTTTGTGAGTTATTGCAACCCTGACTGAAAGGCTGCTGTTCCGTTGTGACACCGCCGACTCTCCCATGTGCCCCACTAACGTCCTCTTTACCAGCAGCAGAAAAATCCTCTTTGCACTTTCTTTTTTTCCTCTCCTCCTCTCCTTCTCTCCTCTCTTCTCTCCTCCTCTGTCCTCTGTGTCCTTGCTAAATGCACCTATGAGCATTACTGTTGTTGTGGCTTTCTTGAAGGTGGATGTTTTCCTTTGGTTTGAGTGTCAGAAACAGTGACAACCACTCTGGGGGTTTTCACACTTATGAAAACACACACACACACACACACACAATCTGATGCGCGCACACACTCGCGCACATCATAGTGTGTGTGATGGAGCTGTCTGCTCCCTCCTGTCGCCTCATTTGTTTCTGCATCAGGCTGCTCTCAGAGGAGGCCTCGCTTCTGCCCTTGTCAGCAAACATCAGCCTGCTCTTTCTACTCTTTCAGTCTCCCTCCTCCTCCTCCTTTCGTCTCTTCTACTTTCTTCTCCTTCTTTATTTCCCCCACTTTCCATCTTTCCGCTGTTCCAATACGGTAAATCTCGTCTTTATTAATCTCCTCTCGCCTGCTATCTTTCCTCCTGTGCTCCTGCCTTTTGTGTTTGAGGGTGTCAAAGTCGGTGACAGACAAAGATTTGGGCAGTGCGTCTGAGAGGGGCATCGCAGATTTTTCTTTTCCGAGTAAATGACAGAAACACACCACTGGTTGTGATTCTGTCTGAGCGCTGCGGTGTGTGTTGTCTGTGTTTGAATGAGTGCTGTAGGTTCTTTTTCCACCACAGAACAGTTCAAGTGTGAAGGAGGGTCAAGCCGGAGCAGAGCAGCTAGTAAGGTATGAGTGAGTGTGAGTAGGTGTGTGTGTTTGTGTGTGTGTGTGTGTGTGTGTGTGTGTGTGTGTGTGTGTGAGTGTGTTTAGGATGGGCCGATCGCTCGGGGAAACATGCGGGCAAGAAGGAGAAGTGAAATTTACCGCTTCATCAAGTCGTTCAGACTACACTCCACATGCTATCCCTCACACACACATACATACGACTCACTCACAGGAAAACATACACTACCTGCCCAAG